TAATTAGGATTAAAGAAGATAATGGGGATGGGTAATTGGGTTAATTGTTTGATGATTAAACATAATAATTATATTATTGTGGGTTGAAAACCATATGTACTCACCAGGTTTCCCAACCTGACCCACTCAAGCTTATTTGTATCACATGTGTCGATACGAAGCTACTTTACACTGAGAGATTAAAGGAGATGTAGATCACTAGTGTAAATAAATGTAAGGTCTGTTTATGCTTATGTTTCAGTATTGACGATGACATCCCAAAGTTTTAAAATGAATAAAAATACATTTCTTCGGAAATGATTGGATAATATATTTACCATGTTTTTCTGGGAACAAATTCCGCAATATATTTCTTTAAAAATATACTCTGATTTTTATAAAGCATAAACAAAATCGGTCTGTTCTAGCCGTGAAAATGGGGATGTCACATTGATCTCTCTCAAAAAGCGAAAATTAAATGGTCTATAGAAGGAGACGAAAATAGTAAATATTTTCATGGGATTATTATAAAAAGAAGAAGACTTATGACCCTATGAATCGATTAAAACCCCAGATTTATACTATAACCATGATGATTCAATAAAAATACTAAGTTAAGCCCAAAGATTCCTATCAATAATCAAGAAAACAAATAATAAACATTATATACAAAAACAAATAAAAGAAAAAGAAAGAAATAGGGAAGAGAGGATTCAATAGGCCCGTAAGGATCAAGATAAAGACGACTGAGCCAACTTGATATTTTGGTATTATTGCCACAAAGAAGAACATTCAGATTTTTATTTGTATCTAATCCTATGAAAGTTAAAAACATTGTTTACGCAATTTTGTGAAACATTCAAACAAGCTCCGTTTATTGAGATTTAAAGGAGGAGTCCATGATTTTCATCCCTTGCAGAAATGGAATCTACCGGTATGGAGAGTATGATTACGTTGGAAGAGATTAAACTCGCTGTTTGGTCTTGTGGTAATGAAAAAGCACCTGGTCCGGATGGGTTCTCTTTTTCATTCATTAAAAAGTATTGGGATCTGTTAAAGAATGATATTTTCGCCTTTTTAATTGGATTTTTTTACATTCTAAAATTCCTTCGGGGTGCAACTCTTCTTTTATTACGTTGATTCCAAAAATTGATAGACTGTTGGGTGTTAATGATTTTTGTCATATCAGTCTAATTGGAATCCAATATAAGATCATCTAAAAAATTCTAGCGATGCGATTGGCTAATTTTATTGATAGTATTGTCAGTCATGAGCAATCAACTTTTGTGAAAAATCGTCAAAAATTTGGATGCGCCTCTTATGGGGAACAAAATTGTCAAATGGTATAAGAGAAAAAGAAAGAAAATGATGTTATTGAAGATTGATTTTGAAAAATCTTATGATACAGTTAATTGGTCCTTTTTTTATCGTATAATGCAGTTTATGAATTTTGGTTCTAAGTGGAGATCTTGGATCCGAGCTTGTTTGATGACAGTGAGATCTTCGGTTCTTCTTAATGGTAGCCATATGGAGGAATTTCAATTATTTAGGGGGTTGCGACAAGGTGATCCCTTATCATCGTTCTTGTTTATTCTTGTCATTGGGGGACTTCACGTCGCTATTGAAGATGCTAAAGGAAAGCATCTTTTTGAAGGAGTTCAAGTTGGAAATAGAGATATGAGAATTTCACATCTTTTTTATGCAGATGATGTGCTCATTCTTGGTGATTGGATTCGGTCAAATATTACTAACATAGTTCGATTTCTTCATTGTTTTTTTCTGGTTTCAAGATTAAAATTTAATTTGCATAAGTCTAATCTTTATGGGGTTTGCACTTTGTTCGAGGAAGTCAAAGATTTTGCTTTGGTTGTTGGGTGTCGTCTAGATAAATTGCCTTTCATTTATTTAGGACTCCATGTGGGACAAAATATGTCTATGGTGGTGGCTTGGAAGTTGGTTATAGATAGATTTTAGAAAAGGTTATCAAATTGGAAGGCTGCTACTCTATCTATTGGTGGAAGATCGATGTTGATAAAGTCGGTATTGGGATCGTTAGGTATATATTTCATGTCTTTGTTCCTTATGTCAGTTGTCGTTGTTAAGAAGTTGGAATATCTACGTGCATTTTTTTTGGGGAGGAGCATATAAAACCCACAAAATGTCGTGGGTTCAATGGGAGATGGTGCTTGCAAGTAAAAAGAATGGTGGTCTTGAGATTGGAAGTGTGGTGGCGTTTACTTTTGCGCTTCTTCAGAAATGGCGTTGGAGATTTTTACATAATAGCAATTTTCTTTGGGTTAAAGTTACCACGGAGTTATATGGTGAGAATGGTGGTCTTGATCGAGTTGGTTACTTGGGGGCGGCACCTTGGGCTCGTATTCTTGCATCCTATTTTAAACTTCGTTCTCGGCGTGTGGATTTAGAATCCGTGATGTATAAAAAAGTTGGGAATGGTGCTTTGACTAAATTTCAGAAAGATAGATGACATGGTGATAGAATTTCAAGGTTGTTTGAGTTATATCTTAATAAAGATTTCTCTAGTGCCGATAGAAGATGTAATGGCGACTGGAATTGGGATCGACGTTATGAAATTCAAAAAGGTGTTCAATTTTAACAGTTTTCAGATTTGATGGAATGTCTTCATGGAGTTCTTTTGATTGATAAACCTAATTTTTTGTGGTGGGAGATTGGAAAAGAAGGGATTTTTACGATTGGAGATACTAGAAGATGGATTGAGGATATAATTCTTCCTTCTATACAACCGGAAACTGGGTGGAATCCTTTTGTGCCTAGAAAGGTAAATATTCTTCAATGGAGACTTTTCTCGAATATAATTCCTACTTGTTTTAATTTAGCAAATAGAAGAATTGATGTACCTTCAATTTTATGCCCGATTTGTGAGTTACATGTCGAGCAACTTGATCATCTTTTTGTTAAGTGTGAGGTGGCAGCTAGAACTTGGAATGAAATATTTCATTGGTTGGAATTGAATCGATTCGAGTGTGAATCTGTTCAAGGTCTTTTTTCTATAATGAATAACTTTCCTATCAATTCAAAAAAGAAAGATGTTGTGGATGCGATTTTTTGTACTACTGTTTGGTACATTTGAAAATACAGGAATAATATGGTGTTTCAAGCGGGAAAGATGCGAAAAAGCGATATCGTTGACTCTATTAAAAATTTTCTTTTTTATGGATTTTTAATAGGAATCGTAAATGTTATCTATCTTGTATTAGTTGGTTAACTAATCCTTTAAACTTTTTGTAATTTTTTAGCTTCTTGCTAGTTTTTTAAATTTATTTGGTTGTTTTCTAAAAAAAAAGACCACCATTCTCACCATGTATAACAACATTTACATTCACTTAAAGATAAGAATTTATTGTGAGAGAAAACCACTGTAACAACGCTTGTTTACGTGTAGATAAACTCTCTATATCGATTCCACATTTTCCTTCAAAGCTAAAACTTTGTCATATTTAAGCCAAGAGATATTCCTTTCATCCACTTCACTATCTCATAAAAAGTTGCACCTCATGCTTTTAAAATTCGAATAACTTTAATCAGAGTTTTGAAGATAAACATATAAAAAATTCATTAACTCCCGTAATCGCATTCAAAGAGTATAACGACCACCAATAGACAACATGGACACTTTCCAATTATAAAGTTTACACTTGAACATCTCAATAATCTCGTTCCAACTTCAACCGGTGATATATTAGACTGGATCGACAACCCAACGTAAACACAAAGAATCTTCACTATAAAACATCCCGTATTAAAGCCATATTTTCGTCATCATGCCAATTGCCCCAATACCATAAAGATTAGACTTGTGAATGTTAATTTTTAGCCGAACAACATAGAAAACCAACACAAACCCCCTCACAATATTCCTTACATTTTCATGTACCCGGTTACCAATGAAATAAAATCCTCCGAATAAATGATAACTTAAATGATCATTGTTTGTTTCATGTATTATACTTGGATCATATGATAAAGTCTAAAATAAGGTTCAAAACAAAACCAGTTAAATGATCTATATCACTTGATCAAAAACACTACTATTAAATACGGTTATAAAGTGGTTATAGACGTCATAGATCTCTACAAATGTTAGATGAATTTCATCTACAAATAATAGTAGATTCGATAATTTGCTCATGTAATTTAGTTATGTTTTGAATTTAAAATCACCAAAACTTATATTTGGTTTGTTATATTTGGATTTGCAAATATAGAAATCTAATTTTGATAGCATGATTAACATAGCATAATAACATGTTTTATTTTTTCCATAAATTAACAATATCACGTTAAAAATAATTTTTAATAGTAACATTAATTATAATTATATTGACAATTTTAATTAATATTAATATTAGCATTATTAATATTATTGTAATTATATTAATAATTGAAATATGTTTTTTTAACATTGATGATAATTATTAACATGCATTTTTGCTCCTTTAAATCAAAATTATGTTAAACTTTTGTAGTTCACTTTGACGTGGCCTTTATACCAAACCTTTGATTTGAGGGGGAGATATTTTGAAGTTCGCTTTTAAGGGGCCTTCCAGGGACAGTTAATCATGGTCAACCTCCAGGGGCACTTCCGTCATTTTACCAAACCAACGTTCCCCCACGTCACTGTACATTGGTCATCTCCGTCATGTTACAAACACAAACCTGGTCTTGTAATGATCTAGTCCCTGAATATTGGAGTTTGGCTCATTTGGACCTCAAAGTTTCAAATACTTTAGTTGGATCACTGAACTAAAGTTATGTGCACATGAGCTTCTCCACCAAAAAATTAATATAATAAAACTTATTTCCCGATTATTCTAAAATCCCAATTTTTTTGGGATCAAAACCTAGTAGTTGAGATGTGTAGCCAATATGAAAGATTTTAAACTTGAAGGAACAACATTAGTTTTTGTTAGACATGAAAGGGCTTATTGTAATTGTTATTTTCTTCATTCCCCAATAATTACGTTAATTCACCACGAAAAATAAGAAAAATGAAATTAAAGTGCAAGAAACCCATGACCCCACCCCACTCCCCCTCTCTCTCTCAAAACCCGAACTTCTTTGCTTCAAAATTCAACTCCCCCATAAATCTTTTTCCTGTACAGCTTAACTGGTGGGTTGGTGTGAGAAGAAGAGGTGTTTCAGAAGCTTGATTATTATGAATTTGTTATAAAATGGCTAACAATAATAGTTTCAAGAATGGCGGTGTGAAGACGAAGTCAATTTCATCTTCATCTTCATCTTATTCTTCTGGATATAAATCTAAGCCGTCGGTAACGTCTGGTGGCCGCCGTAGCAGCACCGGTTCCAGTGGTAATTCCGCCGGTGCACTTCATAAGGACACTCCTGGAGGTCTCTCACTCACCTTTGTTTTCTGATTTCTTTGTCTGTTCACACAATTTATTATACTGGTGTGTGTAGAATTGTATGCATTTTGTTATCCTTATGCGCTTAGTATGTAAGTTTATATATACAATTCTGAAGAATCGTTAACCGGATTTTCTCTGTGCTATATTTTAACGATTATTTCATGATAATAAGTTAAAATTTTGTAGAAATTTGAGAATGTTGACCTAGAACCCCTAAAAGGCTGTGCTTTTTTAAGGTTCATGAGAACAGAAATTTCATTTTTCAGTAATATCTTATGCTCAGAATCTAAGTGGCTCTTTTGCGCAATATGGCCCCTAGTAGGGCGGAAATCGTTGTTTTGGCCCCGGAAGAAAAAGTCGAATGCCAATTTTTACTAAAATCTGAATCATCCCTCTCTCTTTCTCTCTCCTCTCACTTGATATTTGTATTCAAACATTAGTTTCTGGGAGGGTTCGAGTGGCTGTAAGATTACGACCACGAAACACGGAGGAACAATCAACCGATGCTGATTTCGCTGATTGTGTGGAAGTGCAGCCCGAGGTATTCTGATGTCATGTTTTCAGCTTATTTTAGGAATTTTGTCATGACGTGACGTTTTATTCAATCCGTTTTACATTCTTGTTCAGCTTAAAAGATTAAAACTTCGAAGGAATAACTGGGATTCAGATACGTTCGAATTTGATGAAGTTCTTACTGAATTCGCATCACAGAAACGCGTCTATGAAGTTGTCGCCAAGCCTGTTGTCGAGGTTTGAAGCATTGCTTGTTATAAACATCTTACCAATTCTACTACTTTTAAAATTAAGTTATTAAAGTATGATTTTTGAATTGTACAGAGTGTTCTTGATGGATATAATGGAACAGTCATGGCATATGGACAGACTGGCACTGGAAAAACTTACACACTTGGAAGACTTGGGGATGAAGATACTTCTGCTAGAGGAATAATGGTTCGTGCAATGGAAGATATATTTGCAGAAATCTCTCCAGAAACCGATTCAATTTCTGTTTCCTATTTGCAGGTTCTTTTTCTTTTATACATTATATGGTGTAATTTGCTATTAAGTTTTATGGATTTTAACATTTTGATTTATGTACCAATGTTTCCAGCTGTATATGGAGACAATACAAGATCTTCTTGATCCTACAAACGATAATCTATCTATAATGGAAGATCCAAAAAGTGGAGACATTTCACTCCCTGGTGCTACCTTGATAGAGATCAGAGATCAACCAAGTTTTGTTGAACTTCTTCGGTTAGGAGAAGCACATCGGTTTGCTGCTAACACAAAATTGAACACCGAATCTTCTCGAAGTCATGCCATTTTAATGGTTCATGTTAAGAAGTGTGTGAAGGAAAGAGATGGTGAAAATGGTGGAAAGGTCCACATGAGTAGAACAATGAAGCCACCAGTTGTTAGAAAAGGGAAGCTAATTGTTGTGGATCTTGCAGGATCTGAGCGTATTGATAAATCAGGAAGTGAAGGACATACATTAGAAGAAGCAAAATCTATAAATCTTTCTTTAAGTGCTCTTGGGAAATGTATCAATGCATTAGCAGAAAACAGTTCTCATGTTCCAGTTCGTGATTCAAAGCTTACAAGATTGCTTAGAGATTCATTTGGAGGAACTGCAAGAACTTCACTTGTGATCACAATTGGTCCTTCTCCAAGACATAGAGGAGAGACATCAAGTACTATAATGTTTGGGCAACGAGCTATGAAAGTTGAAAATATGTTGAAGATAAAAGAAGAGTTTGATTACAAGAGTTTAGCTAGAAAGCTTGATGTACAACTGGAATCTCTCATTGCTGAACATGAAAGGGAACAAAAAGCTTATCAGGATCAAGTTCAAAAAATTCGGTTGGATGCGAAAAAACAAATGTCCGATGCTGAAAAAAGTTATAAAGATGCTTTCGAGGTATTTGTATTTGTACTTTAGTTTTCTTTTCAAGTTTATAAATTTATAGACTCGAGTTTTTTCTTTTTTCTCTTTTTTAGAAGGAACAATTGAAATATCAGAGAGAGTGTATGGAGTCGATAAAGAAGCTTGAAGTCCAATTGGCAGCAAATCAAGAAAAGCAGGGAGATAAAAGAGTTAAAGTTGGATTTAAAGATGAAGGTGTGCGTAGTAGTGCAGAAGAACTTATTGAAGCTAAGAAATTACTACAGAATGAAATACTGTTACGAAAAGCTGCAGAAGAAGAAATCAGTAATCTTAGAAATCAAGTAGTGCAATGGAAAAGATCCGAGGTACAATAAAAATACTTAACTTATTGTATATTGGTAGAAAGAGTGAATTCATTATATTAAGTAATGTTGTTATATCTTATGGTTTGGTAGGCAACAGGAAATGCTGAAATCTCAAAGCTTCGAAAGATGCTGGAAGATGAGGTTCATCACAGAGAAAAGCTTGAAGAAGAAATATCCATGTTGCAAAATCAGCTTTTGCAATTAAGTTTTGATGCTGATGAGGTACAATGTTTGTATATATATATTTTGTTTTTTTGCTTTTTTGATAGCTAATATATGTTTACTAATTATAGACAAGAAAACAACTGGAAATTGGTCATGGTGTAGACATGAGTGGAGAAATGGGTTCCCTTGTTTCTCCGGTCAGACAGCAACAGATGGAATATTCCGGCGAGCAGAAGGGCTCTGTTGCAAAACTCTTTGAACAAGGTGATCATCAATGCAAGAAATAGTTTTAATTTTATATCATCCTACTTTTACTTTAAGGTATTATACTTTAATAAATAAATATACTCTCCAACAGTTGGACTCCAAAAAATTCTATCTTTACTGGAAGCAGAAGACCCGGATGTGCGAATCCATGCTGTAAAAGTTATTGCAAATTTGGCAGCCGAAGGTATTCTTGACCTTATATTTATATTTTTCCCAATAAAAATATTATTATATAATTCTTACAAAATTGAAAATCATCTGAGCAGCAACGAATCAGGAAAAGATAGTGGAAGCAGGTGGCCTTACATCCTTGCTATCTCTTCTCACAACCTCTGAAGATGAGAACATCCATCGAGTTGCTGCAGGCGCAATTGCAAACCTTGCAATGAACGGTATTTTTTTTTTTTAATTTTTTATATATTATAAATTAGTTATATTCATTTTATATATGTTGTAAAAATTTAATGAAGAAATATGAAATATGTTTGCAGAGACTAACCAGGAGCTTATAATGAGTCAAGGGGGTATCAGTTTGCTTGCAATGACAGCCGAAAATGCAGACGATCCACAAACACTTAGAATGGTGGCTGGTGCCATCGCTAACCTCTGTGGCAATGGTATTTTTGTAAATTTTGTCCTATTCACACCAGTCTCAGTCCCAGTCCAATGTATGTCAGACACAGTATAACCTGTTATGTCAGACAAATTGCAGTTGATGCTAAGAGCCGAAGGCGGAATCAAGGCGTTGTTGGGAATGGTGAGATGTAGACATCCGGATGTTCTTGCTCAAGTGGCTCGAGGAATCGCCAACTTTGCAAAATGTGAATCCAGAGCATCCACCCAAGGTAATTAATTAATTAATTAATTAATTAATTGTGAGTTAAATAAATTTTATATGGGTAGTTTGGTAATTTTCACATTTGATATTGATTAAAGGAATTAAAACCGGGAAATCTCTCCTGATTGAGGATGGTGCGCTTCCGTGGATTGTGAAGAATGCCAACAATGAAGCGTCGCCAATTAGGCGTCATGTGGAGCTTGCTCTTTGCCACATGGCACAACATGGTACGTGCATTTTTTTTTTTTTTTTTTTGGTGTTACTTGGAACAAATACTTTAATAAATTTAGTTTTGGAATTTTAGAAGTAAATGCTAAAGATATGATATCGGGGGGTGCTTTATGGGAGCTTGTTAAAATCTCACGGGATTGTTCAAGAGAGGATATTAGGATTCTTGCACGGAGAACGTTATCTTCAAGTCCTACTTTTCAGCTGGAATTAAAGCGTTTAAGATTAAACACCGGTTGAATTTTATGTAAAACTCTAAATGTTTGTTTGCTCAAAGGGTGTGTGCGATTTGTGATTATTTTTCATAGATTTTAGGGTTTGTTTTGATAAAAGTTATATCATCGTTGTTTGTAGGTAGGTTATTAGTTCCTGTACTTGTAATTAGTTGATTGTATTACTTTGAAAACTGATTCAGTTGTACTTGTATGACGAAGCTAATATTTTTCGTTTGTACAAAATTGGTTTTCTTTTAATCACGGACTGATAAAATCCTATAATAAATTGATCAATTCTGATGATATTAATTTTATTATTGGCTATTTAGTTTGGGTGATATTAGAAGTTCAAATGTTTAATTCGTCTTCGATTGGTTACAGTAATATATATATATATATATATATATATATATATATATATATATATATATATATATATATATAATCAAAATTGAAGTCATTAATGTTTTTGTAAAGACATGATTTAAATTATTAAAAATGAAGAGGCAATTTTTTTAGGATGCAATTTTGTGGGGACAAAGGTGAGGAGGGTGTTGGTTAAATGGTTCGGTTCTATTTTATCTTATAAGTGAATTCAATTTGGTTTTGGTTTTTGAAATATAGGTTTGAATCTTTCGAGCTAAATTAAAATTCAATCATACCCACAATCAAATTCTAATTTGGTTGAATTGATTTTAACAATTTAGTTTTCAAGAGTCAGAGACATTCTTAAATATATTTAACTTTACTATTAAGTTACTAACAAGGTTGATTTGTCAAATTTATATCCACAAAATATAGATACGACGCTTTCATGAATTAAATTAATTAAGGAGTTTTTATTTAGGACATACATTCGAATTTTATTTAACAAATAATATTAATAATTTAATAAATAACTTCAAATATATAGCAAATGCAAGAAAATTAAATAAACAGTTTATTATTATTAATATTATTATTTTTTTTATTTTTTATTTTTCAGTTTCTAATCAAAACCATTAAAAATCTGAAAAAGTAATATGTTTTTGGTTAAACCAATCCAAAAAATTGTTTGGGTTTGTTTATTTAAAACAACATATTTTTTTAATTTTTCAAAAATATTTATTAATATATACGGTATAGAAAAGAAGTTTAAAATACATAAAAAAAATTGTTTGGGTTACTTTATATGATAGCAAAATGCAATACTTATTTATATAGTACTAGTTTATAACCCGTAAGAACCACGGTTATAAAATTAATTAAACTTTCATAGTAAAAACTTAAAATTATTAATCAATTATTTCAAATAAATTGTTTTAAATAAATCATTAAATAAGAGATATTTTTTTAGTTATATAAAAGTATAGTCGTTAATTTAAATAAATACATGAAATTATATCACTTTATAATATATATTAATTTTTTTTCTAATGTTATTAATTTAATGTAATTAAAGTGTGAAATTTGAATTTGAAATTTGAAACGAAGAATCAATTATCAATTATTAATTTACTATAATTAGAGTGAGAAATTTAAAATTTAAAATTTAAAATAGAGAATTAATAGGTTGACATGTGTCATATAATATTAATGAAGATTTCTAATATTGTGCCACTTGTCAATAGGAGAATAAACCTATTCGTTTATTAGAATATGGATGGATATAGATATATCACTGTAAGATTAAAATGCATAATCAAACTATCTTTAACAATGAACGACTTCGAGTCTTCTATAACCGTTTTCGAATCCAAATTTAAATTTCAAATATGATAAATTGTACTTTTCTAAAACTGCTTATTGACGGAATCAAACTCTAATAAATTAATAAACCTTTTAAATAAACAATCTTAAACACCTATTTATACTTAATGCCAGGTAGTATACATTTGACTAAACGCAATTTAAAAATATTATTTGTTATGTTTAACTGTTAGTACATGATACCCTATCCCTTAATTGGGCTCGTCATGGCGCGCCATGACTCTAAAACTTGTGTTTGCCGTCAAGTTTTACCGAAACGCCGCTTTAATTCATATATGTGTATAAAAATGAATAATAGTAGAAAATACATATAAAAATATTAATTATATACAAAATTGCCGCCTTAAGTCACGCCTTACAAACGACGTGGCTCACCAAGGCTCGGAAAAGCTTGAGACTTGAGATCGCCGCCAAGTCACATCTTACGTTATTTAGAACATTGGACTCAATACATAACAAAATAGCCAAAATCAATATACAATAGGACATTGGTTATTTGATTTGATAAAAGTATAGGATACCTTAGGTGGCCAGAGCACAAGGACCCATATCCGATCCAAACTAATTTGATCTTCTCGAACTCTCTTATGTGTAACAAAAGTAACAGGGGATGCTTCTGAAGCTACCACTTGTTATGTTGATACCAAGTTATAAAACAATTATATATATATATATATATATATATGTATATATATATATATATATATATATATATATAGAGAGAGAGAGAGAGAGAAAGAGAGAGAGAGAGAGAGAGAGAGAGAGAGAGAGAGGTTCTTTTGAGAACCAAAAGATTTGTGAGAACTTACGAACTCATAATCAACTCATCATTTTTCAACACCAATCTTCTCCAAATGGTGCTTCTAAGCCATATCTAGGCTCAAAAAAAGATTTGACGATTTTTTTTTTGGTTTTTTTGTATGACTGCTGATGAGCACAATCAGCAGTCATATGCACTGCTTCCAGTAGTACAGATCCTCTGCTTCCAGTAGTACGGGCCCATACTACCTTCCACATATATCCGTACTTTCCTCAAGGATTACCCTGAATCCTCCAGGTCACTCCCTTATCAAACCAACAACTCTCAATAAGACAAGGCTCTCAGAATCGAATCACCTCCTAGGTTTTCCTAGGGCAACCCCCACACCACTCTCTGCCATCAGCTGCAGAAGGAACTCCCCCTAACACCCTCTAACTAACTCACGAATATAATTACATATCACCGACACCAGATAATTCTTCGAATTAAAGGTCTCACACTACAACGGTTGGACTCAAACAAGAGCTGCACAATAGAGTTAAAACCTAACCTTCTAATAATTATCCAGTCTCAACAATATGTAACTTAACATATTCGCTTACTAGCTACCTGATGTTAATGGGAACTCCTAAAAGCACAAAGCAAGCATCATTCGAGCATCGAGTAATCGGAATCAAGCATAACTTAATCAGGTCATCCTATCACTGACTGATCAGTATTAGCATGCAAGTCTACAAGCTCATACAACAGGCATACAAAGGCATCTCTCCTAGCATTCTATCATGCAATCCTGAGCAGATCCTTAGCCCTAATCTAGCATGCGATTCACAGATTCATAATTTAAAGCATAACATAAAACATGTATGTGTATTTTGGGAAAACTTACTTGAGCTCGGTCGATTGCATGCGCCACAACCCTTTCTTTTATTAGAAAAATTCTTTTTATAAAACATTTCATGTTATGAAAAATCTACCAAATCCTTAGTTTGAGTTCAGAAACACCCGAGAGTATTCCCGAATCCCTCAAACAAAGGCTCTGATACCAACTTGTAACGTCCCAAAATTTAAGACCGAAAATATCGTTTTCATAATAATAAATCACCAATTATACATGTTCATAAATCCATAAAGGAAAACATAGTATTTCAATCAAACATCCCAAATACATCAGAGTCAAGTAAAGCAGAAATCATGGGGTGTGTGTGTGTGTGTGTGTGTGTGTGTGTGCGATGCGATCATCCCGAGCTCTTTCCCTTCAATCCGGAAGTACCTGAAACATAAACTAAAAACCGTAAGCATGATGCTTAATGAGTTCCCCAAAATACCACATACCATATATCTCAAGGCCGTGTCGGGTCTATTTCACCCCCGAGTCTATTTCAATTTATGTGTCGGCCCAAGGCTGTACCGGGTCTATTTCACCCCGAGTCTATTTCAACTCATATGTCAGCACAAGCCTGTACAGAGTCTATTTCACCTCCGGGTCTATTTCACCCCACATACATATAGCAAACAGACACACAAACATATAACACATACAACAGGATTCACAAAGACTATAAACACATAACATATCCTAGTGTCCTACAGTATAGTGAGCAAACTCACCTTAGTCTGTTGACAATCAAACAAATGATCGGGCTGCTGAACTGGAAAATCCCCGCACTAGTCAATCAAATAAAGATCCCAATTAATTATCGGGCTATAAACCTTAACTAGCAATCTAGTTCACTTGTCCAATACCCAGGGTGAAAAACCATTTTACCCTTTCCTTACCTGGCCCAAATACCAAGGCCCAACCTAATGGCTCCAAAAGCCCAATATGGCATATATTCCTAAATGACACCCAAAGCACATTATGGGCCCAAATACAAGAAGGCCCAAAGCCTAACAATTGTCCAAAGTCATAAATACTAGTGGCCCAACAAGTCCCAAAACCCTAATAGTCCAAATATGGCCCAAAACCCGAAAGTCAACAAAAGTCAAGGTTACTGAGTACGCCCGATCTACTCAGACTTACGCCCTGCGTACACTATCTTTGGCCAGTACGCGCTGCGTACGAGCTGGGTACGCTCAACGTACTCCACAACAAGACTAACTTGCTATTAAGTGCTTAATTGGTTAAGCCACTATGCCACATTCTCAGATCTGGTCGTAAGTGATGTCTTAACACGTAAAGTTGACAACTTTACTCCCTTGCATGCTTTAATGGGACCCAAACTCAATAAAAACCCAAAATAAGAACCCTAACTCATGCATGGTCCAATATAACACACCAAGATTGCATTTTTATGAACAAGGGACCTTAAAAATGCTAAGATCTACCATCCCTAAATTCTGTAGTAGCTCATACTCTCAAGCATGTCTTAATGGACCATAAAAGCATAAAAAAACCCTAACTAGATCTATCAAAAGAATCATCAAGTTAAGAGCTTTATACCTCCGAAAGCTTTCCAAGTTGGTGATGATTCTGGATCTACAAGCTCCAGCCACAACATTGCAACTTCCAAAAGTTCTACTTCCTTCAAAATCACCAAAAACACCTTCAAATTTCACTTCTAAGCTCAAAACACTCAAATTGAAATTAGGGTTTCGTTCTTAGGGTTTTGAGAGGTGGAGGCTGGTCATAAGAAGCTCCAAAGGTAACTT